TTCGGACCTTATATTTGACAATACACCTCGCACAGAAGCATTGTTTATTGAAATTTATCAACCCAAAGGGAAAAACATTGTTGTTGGAATAATATATAGGCCTCCTAACCATAGAATTGATGAATTTGTTTATAATACTAACAAATTAATTTCCGCAATTTCCAAAGAAAACAAATCGTGTTATTTAATGGGTGATTTTAATTTGAATTTACTTAATTACCATACCCATCAATTTACCGGTGAATTTCTCGATATTATGTACTCTAATATGTGTTTTCCTTTGATAACCCGCCCACGCGTATAACTTCTAACACAGCGACATTAATTGATAATATATTTACAAATAATTTAGACACTTATTCCTTCAGTGGTTTATTGTTTACCGATATCTCCGACCATTTACCAATTTTTTCCTTTTTTTACGACCAGTCATTACAAGATGCTAGTGATACATACGTGACCTTTAGGGATAAGAATAAGGCTAATTTGCTAAAATTTCAAGATCGGCTAAAAAATTTTAAATGGACTGATCTTGAGGGATATGACGATCCTAATTGTGCATATGCAACTTTCCATAAAAAACTTTACGAATATATATAATACTTCTTTTCCTTTGAGAAGAGTAAAGGCAGCGAAGTTCAAATCTAACAAGCCCTGGATATCTGGCGGTCTTTTAACATCGATTAGGAAGAAAAACAAATTATATGAGAAATTTTTGCGTATTCCAACTTCCTGTTATGAAAACCTGAATAAAAAATACAAAAATAAGCTCAATAATTTATTGCGTTCAGCCAAACGCCTTTATTATGAAGAGAGATTGGAGTCTACCAAAACCAACATTAAAACAACATGGAAAACATTAAATGAAATTATAAACAAAAAACCCCGTAAAAAGCCATTGCCATCGGTGTTCATTGCTAATAACCAAAATTTCGTTAATCCACTGAATATTGCCAATCGCTTTTGTGACTATTTCACTAATATAGGTCCCAATTTAGCTAATAATATACCAACTTTATCCCAAATTCCTAGTTCCTATTTGACGGGAAATTTTGTAAACTCATTGTTTTTTCAACCAGTAGTCCAATCAGAAATCACAGAAATAATTAGCTCTCTACGATCAGGAACTGCTGGTGGCTATGATAATATTTCTATGCAAATTGTCAAGGATTCTGTTGACTTGGTTTCTGAGCCGTTGACCCATATTGTCAATTTGTGTGTTCAATCTGGCATCGTTCCTGATCAGATGAAAATAGCACGGGTTATACCTATTTTTAAATCAGGTGCGGATAATCTGTTCTCCAACTACCGGCCAATATCGGTTCTACCGGTCTTTTCTAAAATTCTGGAAAGGGTCATATATGACCGGCTATTAAATTATTTGAACGAATACAATATTTTGTTGAATAATCAGTATATACGACTTTAGAAAAAACCATTCCACCTCGCTTGCATTAATTCATTTATTGGATAAAATTACAACTGCTTTTGATGAAAAAAAGTATACTATTGGAATATTTCTTGATTTATCTAAGGCTTTTGATACTGTCGATCATGAGATACTTTTTGAGAAACTTGCACCGAAATACATAGCTGAGCTAGCTGCCTCGCGAAGGGGTTAGCTCAGCAAGTTGCTCTCGTATGCCGCGGGCTTTAGACAAAGCAGATTATAGTGTAACAAATGAGGCTATAATCAAGTGGTTCGAACAAAACCGTTAGGTGATTTATGAAACAATTATTGTATGCTATCTGACACGTATATTGAAGAAATAGCAAGTCACAGTAATACAGGAACTGTGGACTTAATAAAAGTAGAGCAAGTCAAGAAACCCCGGAAATCCAATACATGATTAAATTTTTTGCCCTTTATTGAAGTTCCTTCCAAACAACTTTCAAGAAAGAAAGGTGACCCGGTAAGATTACTTTCAAGAAAACAAGGTGATTGTGTGGCGTCTCATTTAACATCTTGTTCTAAGAATCCTATTAAAGAATCATAATATCATTTTCGGCGGCGCCAAACAAACCAGGGTCCCCCACTGCGCTCATCGGAATGGCTAGACCACTTAAAGCTGGTCCGACGGATAATGATAATGTAGCACCTACCACTAATGCTACCAATAATTGTTTTTCAATACCCGTAATTATTACGAAACGAAATGACGAGCATCCCTATCAAAGTAGTAAAGCAAGAGTACCAAGAGTTCATCGACCTAATTATAGCAATTTAGTTAAAATCCCCACTATGAATACTCAACAACCAAAGTCACCGCACTTTAAATGAGTCCACTTGAACATCAGACCGCTACGCAACACTATCCATTTGACACAGCTCAAGGAATTCCTTTCAAAGACAAAAACCGAAGCGCTTACACTATCCGAAACGTGGTTGAACACTACGATAACGAATGCTGAGATCTACATCAAAGGTTATACATTATACAGACAAGATCGCTTAAATAAACGTGGAGGTGGTGTTTGCGCATACATCCGAAATGACATTAAGGTCTCCAAACTCAAGGGAAAAAAATCTGTTTCTGAAAACTATTTCCATCTTTTCGGATTCCAATGTCAATTCCAAACTTGACAATTTTAACAACGTCCTTCTTACAACTTTGGCTGTCCATGTGCCAGTCAGAATAACTAAGATCCAAAATCGCTCTTGTCCCTTCATCATAACAGATATCAAAAACCAAATGTCCCACAGAGACCAACTTCACCGTCGTTATAAACGAACACGCGATATCGATGATTGGAGAGCATTTAAAAACGCCCAAAGATCATTCAAATCCACTCTAAAAGCTGCTGAAAAACAACACGTTCGAATTGAAGTTAACCTCCATAAAGATAATTCTAGATCGTTGTGTAAAGTGATATATTAATAGGTGCATTCCATCTAAAGATAAAAGAATTTTGGCTTACCACAAAAATACATTACAGGTGGCCAACGATTTCAACCAGTTCTTTCAATCTGTGGGAAAAAGAGCAGCCGAAACAGCTGAAATGTTAGCCCTACGAAATAATTTAAATATATCAACTGAGTTAGAGCCTCAGAATAGGAGATCTGAACTCTTCTCTACGGAATTGTTCAAGTTCACTCCCGTCACGTGCACAGAGGTTCCAACGCATAATAACAACAATGCCGTCGAATAAATCTCCAGGACCAGACAAAATCAACATGCGGATTATTAAGGTTGTCTTCCGGTCATACTCGGCCCATTGACAGACATCATTAATAACTCATTTAGCACTTCGGCGTTCCCTGAGTCCTGAAAAATAGCATAAATTATACCACTCTTAAAGGAAGGTGATCATGAAGTTGCTGCAAATAACCGCCCACTTTCAATGCTTAAAGTACTATCAAAGATCTGCGAAAAGGTTTCTCTAAATCAATTTAGCGGTTTTATTTATTTAGCTTTGCCAACTAGGGCAGGGTCACCACAACAGCATATGCCAATTACTGTGGGCCCTTTTTTACCTAACCCACCCTGTCAACTTTCCCTGTAGGAGGAAACCGGAGTACCCGGGGAAAACCCACGGCTTTCGGCAGAGTGTTGACTTTTACCATAGAATAAGAAATGAATAGAAGGGCAACTCACGTGTACAACGCGTCCTAGTTTTTTTGTGCGCATGCGTCAGGTCCGCCATTACTCTGGCCAGTAAACTGGCTGCTGGCGTACTATAGATTATATGGAGAAGAGTAGTGTTTGGGCTATAAATTTGCCTTTTTCGTTCAAGTTTTTCAATGAGCGTGAAAGTTTTTGACAGAAGATGAAAGAAATAAGGTGAGGCATTGCAATTTATTAGGTACAAGCAATCTAAAGACGTTCTATTAGCAAATACTGACCGTTTTACTTGCTTGTTAAAAGTTGTATATTTGTATATTGAATAAAAATGTTTGGTATATTCTTGGGTAAGTTGGCACGGTACTTTTATTTTATCAGATACTTATGTTAGTTCAAATCTTCATAACAATGTGCTTACAGTAAAAGCATTGTTTCATCCCAATTTTCCGTATTTAGCACAGTTGAGTATTGTATAGTGTCTGTTTCCATGTCGCATATATTTTCACGTTATTTTACATGATCTGGATGTATTTTCATGTATATTTATACAAATACACAACTATTATAAACACACAACTAAAAGATTCCTTTTGTGTTTCTTTCACAAATAACAAGTGTTGCCTTCTGTAAAATAAGTGGTTTTTTGAAGTTTGAAATTTTGTATAAAACAAACTGATAGACTAGTATAGTATACAAATGTGCTGCAGGTGAATCAGAAACATTCCTAACTATGCCCATATCATAGAAGCATTTCATTTATTGTTTTTTATTCAACCAGGTATTAAACAGCATCACAAAAGTCATAAATTGTTGTTCTTTTATGTTATAATTATCAAGGCTATAATTAAAATATAGAGACTGAGTCACCATACTTTTTGTTGTTATGTACTCTGGTGAATATGATGTTTGTGGTGTTACTCTGTATATGCATCCACACTGGGCAAACTGAAAAATTTGCCTGACCACGGTCAGGCATGGTGGGAATCTAACCCACGACCTTTGGGTTATCACTCCAATGCTCTACCAACTGAGCTATGAGGTCACTTAAGTATATAACACTAACACACACAAAAAGTATCATGTCTTAGAATACACTGATATCGAAGGAACCACACTCAGTTCCAAAATATCACCAACTCGAACTGACTTAACCTAGTAGTTCAGTTGGTTGAGCACTGGACTGGTATCCCATTAAGGTCACAGGTTCGATTCCCACCATAGTCAGGCAAACTTTTTAGTTTGTCCCGGTGTGGATGCACACACAGAGTAACACCACAAACATCAAGTTATGACCATGTTTACACTTCATCTGGTCATGCCTGACAATCACTGACACAGGCAACACATCAATTTGCCTGAGTGTATGGAATGTACAATTCCTCTGCACCGGACGGCAGTGAGTCTAGGCTCTAGGAATTGTGTATCGTTTTTGTGCCAAAAGATTAGACAGCAATATAAGCTGTTGTGTACGCGAATCACTGATTTGTGCACAAAACTGGACAGCCTTTTCTTTCCATGCTGGGCAATTTAGGCCTCTAGCATGACTAGGTCAAGCTGGCAATGTGGCCCTTCTATAACACAGTATTATCCATGTCATAATTTTTGTTTCATTTAGTTTAATTTCTGCCTTCTGGAAGTACTCAAGCCTTGGCAACAAGTACTCAAGTTTTACTCTCTTGAAGAGCAATTTGTCAATGATTGGATCATATTGTGTTGTCTTTGTAAATATATAATATATGTATGCCAGAATGGCAGTGCAGAAACATTAAAATTTTTTACAAAAATATGTTGAATACTCTTTCATTTCTCTCCTAGTATTACATTATGCAAGATGTGGACACCAAATATATGGGGCTGTTCCATATGAGATGTGCTGACATTACAAAATGGACCAGGCTGCTTAGGTACCCCCATTTCAAGTTTGTATTCAAATGTGGATACATGCTTTATTTTGCCATTCAGACACCTATAAATCTAAGAATGTAGAAAGCTATCCAAAATTGTATTGCAATTTCTGCATAATGCTTGCCAGGCTAGCCTGCCTCCACTAGTGTATGAAGGCAAGCTAACCTGGTTTACCAGGCCAGCCCAACTCTTATGAACAGCTCTTAATGTAGAATGTGAATGGGTTTCATATAATATATTCCTTTTGTTCCTGGAGATCTTAATTTTTTATAAACTTTTTTGCTTTAAATTTCATGCAATATTACATATAGTTCTATAACCTACAGGAGCATGCTTTCATGGTCAAAAACTAATGTCACAGCTTTGTTATACAAAGTTATTAAGCCACCTGGCCCCCTATTGGCCACCACTGAATATATGCATTTGAACTATTGCAACAAATCAGACTTGTTTTAGACTCGTACACTTGTGCTTATTAAAATACCAATTGGGACTTGTTGAAAGTTTGTTTATAACAATATAAAGTACAGAACTAAGTAGTTCCTATGCAAGATAAAATCAACTTGTAGCCAATGTTCGAAAGGTATCTTTGAATGTTAGTAATATTTGAAACAGTTCCAAGGTTCTTTCAGACAAATCCAATTGAATATTGGACTGTGCTGGAACCATACTGACTACCTTCACTTCTATTCTGTGATAGTGACTTTGCCACTTCTATAAAAACAAAAAAAAATACATTAAATTCAATCAAACTTGTACACGAAAAACAGCTATAAACACATGGAAGTGACCACGTGTGCATAAAAAGCAGCTCTGCTCTGGATGAAACACGCTTGGCATAAAATGTTTCAAATTCGGCCACAAGAAATGTTCGAATTTTTGCGGATGGCGCGCGTATTTTTTTGGAGTCTGGAGACGAAATTAATTTTGGAAATGTGCGCTATTTTTAGATAGCTGCGGTGACATGAAGGGTATCCTTAGAGAAATATGTACTTGGGGGATGAATAGCGTGATATTAGGGGATCAGAATGGTACCAAAGTTGCCATGACTACCTTTATTGTTTTGCCGCTTGCGAGCATTCTTTGAGAGCAATTTCGCAAACAATGGCGCATCGAAGCCAAAATGTTAAAATTGATGAATTTCGGCTTCGAATAACTTTTGTTTTTAAGGCCATCCTTTTATAATATTTGGTAGGACTACATTTATAGCCTTTATCTAAATTCCTACCGAAGCACTTTATTCGATTTCGTCTTTGATCGCAGTAAAAATGCATTTGAATAAGGCCACCAAATACAGCGTTTCGATGTCAACGCTAATAATATAACGTTTAGCGTCTGAGGTTGCGGTCAAAAGAAAGATGGAATTATCGACCAAGACACAGAAATTGAGGAGATTAGACGAAAAGGTATGTTTGGCATTTGTTTATTGTATTATTTGTACGAAACAAGGGATAATATATTGATATGTTTTGAAAGGCAGGCGTGTGTACTTGTTGACTTGTATATTGTATACATTCTTGAGCGCTCAAGAACTATAATACCTATAGCGGCCTATGGCTACAAACCCTTTAATTAACCCTATATTTTCGAATGTGGAGGGTTTAAAACAAGCGAAATATGTTTAAAATTACGAACAATAATGTGTTGTATATTATATTTTCACATTGACAGTTGTCACACAGATTTATTATAAGTAGATTGACTAGACAATATGCGATGTTCCATAGGTAAATTCTACGTTTTGAGGGATTTGTAAGTAATCTTTGAGGAAATTGGCTCAGTGTTACATTTCAGCACATAACATGCAATTCTGACAATGTAAACTCTGTTACTATATAAATGTGAAGTTTTTTTAACTTTGAAGTTAGAAAAATCTTTTGAATATTGAAACAAACCTATAATTGCTTGCAAATTCAGGTAAACCACAGGCACAGCTGGCAGCATGGCCTAGGTGTTGTATTTGTACACAGACTTGATTTATAGTTTCAGCAATCTATGAACTCATTGAGTCGCATTGCGCCCTCGCCGCCCTGATGGGCCCTACTTTATTATTTTACTTTGTCTAACGCCAGATTATTTTACTTTGTCTAACGCCAGACGATTTTACTTGTCAAGGGGAGAGTGCTGGCGCAGCTTAATTGGTTAACTAGCCTATATGTCTATGTGTCTAGTTAGTGCATTGAGTTACATTGCACCCTATGTTATTATTTTACTCTGTCAGTCTCTATCTACCAGCAGACAAGTTAACTTGTCAACGGAGAGCGCTGGCGCTTAATAGTTAACTAGCTTATATGTCTATGTGTCTAGTTAACCTATTGAGTCGCACTGCGCCCCGATGCGCCCTACTTTATTATTTTACTCTGTCTAACGGCAGACGATTTTACTTGTCAAGGGGAGAGCACTGGTGCTTAAACGGCTTAATGATTAACTACCCTATATGTCTTTATGTCTAGTTAGTGCATTGAGTCACATTGCACCCTGATGCACCCTATGTTATTATTTTACTCTGTCAGTCTCTATCTAACGGCAGACAAGTTAACTTGTCAACAGAGAGGGCTGGCGCTTAATGGTTGACAAGCTTATATGTCTGTGTGTCTAGTTAACCCATTGAGTCGCACTGCGCCCTGATGCGCCCTACTTTATTATTTTGCTCTGTCTAACAGCAGATGATTTTACTTGTCAAGGGGAGAGGGCTGGCACTTAATGATTTAAGTTCTGAAAGTAGCAAGGAAAACCACCCATGTGAGGCTTATGTTTTTATATACCAATGATACAGCCACAATACATCCATGGATTGTTGGTCCACCTTTTGTGTTAACTCAGTAAGCCGCAGTGTTTCCCAGTGTCACCATCAGTCATTTGCTTGTTTTGTATATGCGATACTGAGTAGATATGTGATGTGCCCCAAAGACAGTCGTGTTTACAGGCTATACCCGTAGTAATCGGGCTACTTTGTTATTTCGGTCTTATATCAGTCAGATATTTAAATTTACCCTTAAAGACAGTTACCGTACTGTAACAATATTGGGTTTATCAGCTATAGTGATGCAAGATTTTTAATCTCTAAACCTTTACCATTTTCTTCTAGGTCTTGCAAGGCAAATTTTATTTACTAATGGCAGAATATTGTGAAATAATGTGTCGCTGGGTTTGGATTATTCCTGCCTACTATACTGAAATATATGTGTATTAAGTTTGACTTTGACTGTAATATTAACCCTCTCAGTAATTGCCAAGTGCAAGTGAGGGTTGATCTAATTAATGTATTATTATTTGATTGCAAATAGTGTTCTCAATTAAATTGTCTGGTCTAATAAATAATTTTACCAGGACTATTGGCAAATATTGTTCCCAGTATTGTTCTTTATGTTCAGTAGTGTACTAAACATTTGACTATGGAATAGCAAATTCACAAACTTTTTTATCCAGTGTGTATTATTTTAGTCTTTTTGAATTGATCACATGTGAACATTTCCTGCACATGCAAACAACACATTCATATGGGTTTTCTTCTCTGTGTGTTCTTTTATGTGTTAACCCATTGAACCGCAATGCCCCTTTTACTTGTCTAACACCAGACAATTTTACTCGTCAATAGGGAAGCTCTGCCACTTAATGGGTTAAGCACCCTGGTTGTGGAAGTATGAACATCAATGGATACAAAGACATGGTGTATATCATAGAATTTATTAATATACAAATCAAAGTACTTTGCCAATGCAGGAAGTTCAAATAATATACACATACCAGTAAAATGCCTGTCACATACTGATACAAAGGCAGTCATAATGGGTTACATACAGTCACTAAAAACACTTTTAACTGCATGTACCAAAAGAGAAATTTATCACCTTACTCCTTAGTTACTTAGTATGTCAGCCATATTACTGGTAGTGTGTGTGAGATACTGTATGCTAAATAAAGACCAGAAAGTTAGAAATATGACATGCTAGTGAATATAGAATACTTCAAGTTATCTTTATTAACATGTACAGTACATAATTCAAAAATATTTATAACTGTTTCAAGTGTTAGCACAGACATGATACTGTAATTCCTTTCAATGTGTGAAAGCTTTCAAAAATTCAATATAGTTGCTTACAAATTATCCACCCTTGTATATTGATTAAGCCAACACTAGTAGACTGCGAAATAGTTTGTAAATTAAGAGATTAGACAAGCCTCCTGACACTGAGCGGTAGGTTTATGTAAACGTTCGTTTTAGCTGTTAGCTTTATTTTACGTCGCCTGAGCAAAATCCATTCGATATCACTTAATTAAATCTTATACAAGAAGTATTTTAACATGTCAACAGAAAGAAATTGACCAGTTTGCCTTTGCCAATCTGTTAATTCGAACGTGATTTTCTCATTGAAGGTTTGTTTCGCACATTGACCAGTCCCCATCGATTGTTTCCGCAATAATCCACAACAGTTTTCTAGTTCACAAGATGAAAAATTCGCCCTAACAGATTTTGCAATTCACTCCTAATCGCCGCCATCTTGAATTTTTTCTATGCTCATGGGCAAGACCGCTGAACTTCATGATCGGCAGTTTGGCCGATTTCGCAACATTTTATGCCAAGCGTGAAACCCTCAAAATGCTCAAATCTATATAATATTACTGCAACATCTGAACAAAAAAAAAAAAGTATTCACACTAGCTTTAAAGACCAAGACGACCCGAAAAATAAAAAAAGATATGATATGTACGATAGTTGCAAAGATTAACAACGATTCACTAGTTTAAAACCTATAAACATAGTCTGTATCGTGTACTGTATATATAAATAATAATGTTCGTCAACTCCATATTTAATAGTAATATTTGTCGCTGATAAATACCTCGATTAAATGTTTTATTTGACCAATAAATGAATAAATACAAACTACTTACCTTCCTCTTGGGTGTTTTGGTTTTAAAATCTAATTTTATTAGCAAATATCCTCAAAATGTCAATTTCAAAACAAATCACAGCTCTCACTCCATATATTTTATATCGATTCCAGCTGCAAGTTACTGGCCAGAGTAATGGCCGCCGTCGTATTTCCGGCATGCGCGACACGACATGCGCGAGGACACCGACTTCAAAGGATCCGACATTCAGTTGCCCTTCTATTCATTTCTTATTCTATGCTTTTACTCTTTTCACATTCAGCCGAAACACTCAGTATATTAGTCAATGATTTTTTGCTAAAATCGATGGACAACAAAAAACTTGCTGCTCTAGTCCTTTTGGACCTTTCAAAAGCGTTTGACAGCGTGGACCATTCAATCCTGTTGAAGAAACTAAGCAATATTGGGTTTCAGGTGAAGCCCTTAACTGGTTTGAAAGCTACATCACGGATAGAAAGCAGTTCGTTCGCATTGACTCCTCGGTATCCGAAGTTTTACCAATCACCCACCGAGTGTCTCCGGGAGCAATATTGTCACCGCTATTGTTCTGCATCTATATAAATGACCTCTCAAGAGTACCACAAGCATCTGAGTTGGAATCATTCGTCGACGATTCTAAGATCTTTATGTCGTTTCCAATTGAAGATATTGCTAGTGCAAAAACAAAGATAGAAGAGGACCTCAAATTGGTAGCAACTTGGTTTTTCGAAAATAAACTGTTGATAAACCCTGAGAAGACACAGTTACTCTTGATAGGAACTCGTCAACTGCTCGGTAAGCTCCTTGAGGAGACGACAATTACATTTCTTGGAGAAGAGATTACACCAACCACAAATGCCAAAGACCTGGGATTAGCCCTAGACAGTTATCTGACATACGATTAGCATGTCAAATATGTTGTATAATAAATACAGATAAAAAGAGTAAAGGATAGCTTTGATAGGGATAGTCTTCCCTTAATTATCAATGCTTTAGTAATAAGCAAACGTTTGTGCCATTTAATGATGATTCTTCTGCAAAAGTCTGCAAGATCACTTTGTTACAGGAACTAGTTCATAGTGGGTCCTATGACATCATCTGCATTTTCGAAACTTGGCTCAATGACTCAATTATAAGCAGCGAGCTGCTGCCTGGATATAGTGTCTTTCGCCGAGATAGAGTTGAAAAGATTGGGGGCGGAGTGCTTGTTGCCGTGAAAGCCAATCTGCATGCGACTAGACGGCCAGATCTCGAAAGAAATGAAATCGAACTAGTTGTAGTGGAACTTAATAACACGAACAGTAAACCTGTAATCCTGTATACGTTTTATAGTCCTCCTGTTTCAGGCCCCGAAGTTTTCCATCACCTTAGTTCATCACTTCAGAATACAAGCGAATCTAGCTGTATTGTTTTTGGCAGGAGACTTCAATCTTCCCGCACTTGACTGGACTACATTCGATGAACAAATCCCTACTACGGCCGGAGGTCAACCGGAAAACAGTTTCTGCGATCTGTTTGATGATAATTTCCTACGGCAATTCATTCTTGGTCCTACCCACAACTGTGGCAATAAACTTGACCTTCTTCTAAGTAACTGTCCTGAAATTATTACGAATGTTGAAAAATCTACTCCCGAACAGTGCAAATTTCCAACCGATCATTATATCGTCGAATTTCAGATCAAACTTAAATTTAAGCGAGCTAGGAATGTCAAACGTCGAATTTACAACTACAAAATGGCAAACTTTGAAGGTTTGCGTAGCTGCTTGTCCAATGTACCGTTTGAGAACGCTTTCTCGGATGATATTGTCCAACACTGGTCGGATTGGAAAGACTTATTCTTGACGGCTGTGAATAAATTCGTCCCTGTTAAAACCATTAAAGACATAAATTCCCCCCAATGGATTGACGGCGAAGTTCGTCAACTTGTCCGATAGAAATGCGCTGCACTCAAGAAATTCCGCCAGAATAGATCCATGATCCGTAAGCAAAAGTTGCGTTGTATAAGTCAAACATCAAGAGTTTGATCAGAAAATCCGAAGTTTTTCTGGACCTACCGTAAAGCTATTCTACACCATAAGGAACAACACAACGCGGTTGTTACTTACAAAGATATTACAGCCAAAACTCCAGCAGAGAAAGCTGAACTTTTTAATTCTTACTTCTCATCTGTGTTTGTACCATCAAAGTCCACCACTGACACTGACAATAACTTAGACTCTTTTGATCCCGATACCCAAATATCTGATATAACCTTAACAACGGAAGAAGTTGCTGCATGTCTGTATAATCTGGACATCTCTAAGGCAAGCGGCCCAGATGGCATTCCAGCAAAATTACACCAAATCGCACCTAGCATTTGTGACCTGTTCAATCATTCGCTACGCCCTGGGCGCCTTCCCTCCCAATGGAAATCAGCTGATGTTACACCAATTCACCAGAAAGACCTTAAAAAACTCCTTCCCGACAGGTTCCTATTATATAAATCACTCATGATTTACTCACTTCGCGGTTTCATATCTTCAGTTCGGTAAATGCTACGTGGACCAAAATACCACCATTCGATTCAGTGTAACGATAGCTACTCATTCCTGTCGCTTGATTTAGTGAATGGCAACAATATAGCGATTTATGAGCTTTGAAAGTCAAACGAGCTCGTATATGATCAAATTACGCAATATTACTGACAAATTATAAACATAAACATACCTTTCGCCGAATATAACTTCGTCCCATTGAGACGTACACTCATTCTGATAGTCTTGACGAATGAAGCAGTTAAAAATAACATGTATACTGTTATTTTCAAGCTTCTATCTTTAAAGTGTGACTTTTAGTGCCGAATTTTGCATTTCTGCTCTGAATGTGCGTTTATTCCAACCGGAAATACGACGAAAAACCGTCAAAACATTGCTACGCTTGTATCGCATGGCTCTGGAAATGCCAAAAATGGATTCTACACGTCACAGTGCACCCATACGCGTGAGTTTGACGTCATCCTGGCTAAAGGAGCTCCCTTATTGGCCAAGTATTACGTAATACAAGCGCGTGCGAGTAAAACCCGATACTTTAAAAATTCAAAATAAATATTTCTAGTCGGCGTATACATACGAAACTTTCTACACGAAAGCGCTTGCATAAAGAGTATTTTACACATATAGCCTTTCAGAAAATGACGACAAGTTTAGAATATATTCAACTTTTTCTCTTTTTCTCTTTTGAATGTTTGGCGAAGCGGTGAGTATAATATATGATTGTTTCGGTTTGTGTAATGTTTTGACGGCACTTGACCCCCCGTTCGAAAGGTTATTTCGTGAGTATTACAATGGTGGGTTTTGTTTTAAAGAGGGGTAAATACTCGCCGAGATATTTATTTTAGAAAAATTGAATCGTAATGTAATGCGAAACCACTTGTCGGGAAGGAGTAGAGCCCGTTGAAAATTACAGACCGATTTCCCTCCTGCCTATCATCAGCAAAGTTTTGGAACGTTGTGTTTCCAGGAGATTCTACGATCACGTCATTCACCTTATCACACCATCACAACATGGTTTTCTTAGAAATCGTTCGTGTATCACTCAGCTTGTCCAAGTTCTTCACTCTGTTGGTCAATGTCTTGACAAAAACCTTCATGCAGTCTGATATAATTTACCTTGACTTTGCCAAAGCTTTTGATTCTGTAGATCATCAAATACTTCTAAGAAAACTCAAGTCATATGGCGTTCCAGGGCGTCTTCTCGACTGGTTTCGTGATTATTTAAGCGGACGTACCCAAAGAGTTGTTGTCGAAGGTGTCCCATCAAGCTGGGTTCCTGTTATCTCTGGCGTGCCACAAGGAAGTATCTTGGGTCCGATACTTTTTGCTGTCTTCATAAACGATCTTCCGGAAGTAATATCCAATGGCTCTTCGGAAGCTATGTATGCTGATGACACAAAGTTGTTTGGAAACATCAACTCTACGATAGTAGTATAGTAGGTGGTTTTCGACCCGGATTTTTGCGGTGGTGGAGGTGGTGGAGTGTGGAGGAGTGAGGAGGAGGAGTGAGGAGGAATGAGGGTGCGTAATGACGTCACTCATTAACATACGTCGTAATTATATGCAATGACGTCACGCGGGCGAGCTTAAACAAGGACGTGGGAAACTTGCTGACTACGCATTTTTTAGCGTTCCCCCACGTGTGTGATACAATAGGCTTATTATTGGCTTGCTCTGAATAGCTCGAGTCCCTCGCATGGCAAAATTGTTATCGAAATTAATATATAGCAGTTATAGCCGTATCTTTGCTAGGAATAGATAAATTTCCACGAGTATATTGAAGGACTTTTCGTATATTCCATATCGAGGAAACTATTCGTCACAAGAATCAAGACATATTTTAAACTAAACAGTTGCTAATCCCGGGTTGTCAACGTCGTTGTTAAGGTCAATATTTGCATGTTGTTCAACATTATTTAGCAATCCTCCTACATACATATATACTGTTAAGATGATCATAAGAAAGCTTATCAAGAGTAGAAGTTAGAATTAGAACAGTTGTAATATTTTTTGACACTATCATCTGTTATTTGTATCAATAAACATGTTTTAAGCTTTGCCAATTTGCGTTGTTTATGCGTTGCTAAGTCATTAGGAGGTGTGTAGGTAATTAAGGGGATTAAGGCAATACGAATTTGCATAACTAAGTGTATCCCGATGGATAGATAGGGATTATTTTTAACGCAGGTGTATATCTTAAAATCAGGCGCATAACAAAGTTAATACTAATACGAGTCGGACGTGTTTTTTTCGCTCCGCTAAAATCTATTTCAAAGATGAATGCTAATAAAGACAAGGGAATTAGCCTTCTACATAATATATCGCTCAATGATAAAGATAAGCTGAAATGGACAGGAACATTTCAAGCGTTGCAAATGTTTGTTGAAGAAGGGCTAAATATATCTAATGGCATTTGGTCTTCCCCTGGTGGAGATGCAAAGCAATTTAAAGCTAAAGATATAGACTTGCGATGGTATTCCGACACCCAATCTATCACGCTTAATGGAAAACTTAAGGAAGCAACCAAAGAGCAGTTGATTTTGTTGGCTTCGGTGTCAAAACGACTTAGTGCCGTTGAAGAAAGCGAAGCAGGGAATCAGGACAGCTATAATGAGAACGTTAGCTTCGAGCAATCGAGCGAGTCGGAGAAATCAAGCGAGTCGCATTCGTTGGAAAAGTCGAGCGAGTTGCATTCTAAAGAAAGCAAAGCAGGGAATCAGGACAGCTATAATGAGAACGTTAGCTTCGAGCAGTCGAGCGAGGCGGAGAAATCGAGCGAGTCGCATTCTTTAGAATATCTAAATAATCAATTAGAAGCACTAAATAAAGCAGTATCTACCAATACAGCTGCTATAAAGTCGCTCATTGAAAACACGAATGACAGTAAACAGCCAAATTATCAAGAATTAGAAAACGAAATTGCCATACTAAAAGAAAAGAATCGTAAACTTACGGATAAGAATGCGAAACTTAAAGTCGAGAACAGTGACTTGGAAGCGAGAATTAACAACTTAACCTATATATTAGCCGATTTGCAAGGAAAGGCCAAGAGTGCCGAGCAAGAAAAAGAAAGTCTAATTACTGCTATGAGACTACTGGTCGAAGATTCGAACAACGAACCCAACGCCACAATTAAGAATTACACTGATGAAACGAGTAAACAAAGCGAGACACAGGATTCAGTTGATTGCGCTGGGCAAACAAAAGAAGTATTGAATCCGAACATTCAAGTGAGTAATAGATTTTCCAACCTTAACACTGAGGAAAGTAATGCAGATGACGTGGATGTTACGCAGAATGGGAGACTCGATGCTCAAGCACATAAATCCTACGCAGCTAAGGAGAAGTACAAGGAGCTTTAACACTCAAATCAAGACGTTTCCAGGTGCGAAGGTAAGCGATATGGAATATTATGTTAAACCTACTCTGGCCCGTACACCCGACCATTTGATTCTGCATGTCGGTACAAACGACGTGAGACAAAGTACACCACAAGAGATAACAAATGCCATATCCATGCTTGGGCAACAGATCAAGAAGGAACTACCTACAACGAATCTTGCTATTTCCGAAGTAATTACAAGAAATGATGACCCAAGTTTGATACGAAAATTACAGAACTTAATACTAAGCTATCCCAGGTATGTACCAATAATAAGTGGAAGATCATTACCCACAGAAATATTTCCTCTGAACATTTGAACCCATATGGGCTCCATCTTTCTAAACAAGGAACAGCTAAATTAGCCCAGAACTTTACAAACTATCTAAAAAATCCTAATTGACCATCTACCGATGCTCCACCCCCTCCACAACCTGTTACCAATACAATAAAGCCAGTAAAGCAACCAAACCCTATTCTTCCTAAACTTAAAGGTTTCAAAGTAGCACAACTTAACATCGCTAGCTTGCCTAAACACTTTGAAGAACTACTTATTTATATGCGTGATGAACCTTTCGATATATTGACCTTAAATGAAACTAGATTAGACAGTACTTTCCTAGACTGTGAAGTACAGATACCTGGTTATGATATTGTCAGATCTGACCGAAACAGACATGGGGGAGGGGTAGCTATATA